GGGGGGTGTTGACGATTACATCTTAAACTTCTGGAAGCTAGCGTGATATGTTAATCCTGAGTATATGCTTTTGGCTGTGTATTGACCCTGTGGATTTGTCTCTCTAAGAAAAGAAGCTGAGCGCCTTACCCGGTGCAGTCCTGCACCTCTCCCTCTCTGGAGCCATCTGGAAGGGAATTCACACTGTTTAGCATCCTCCCTGACACACATGTTGTATTGCCACTGCTGCCACCACCATCACCACTGCCACCACTGCTGCCACCACCACTGCCGCCACCACCGCTGCCAACCCCCTCCCCACTTTTCGAGGAGTGAAGACACGGAGTCCCTACCAATTGTCCCACTGGAGGGAACAAAGAAAGCCAATGTTTCTTCTGTATAGATTGATTCTCACTCACCTCTCCATTGCTCCCTATTTCCCACACCCTGTCGCCTTGCATTTGCTCTTTCACTGCTGTGTGAGAGGTCCATGTGAAATCTCTCGTTCCTCTGTGAGTTTTATAAAGATGTACACTGTGCAGAACCCCTGCCCATCTGTGGTAAGCCCTAGCACAATAAGCCCCTGAGTGGCGGATTCTCCCGGCAAGGAGGAGGGGCGCCCCTGCTACAGAAGCCAGCCCCACTTCCTTGCTTCTCCTCGTATAGGACCAAGTTGTTTAATGGGCCAGAGATGCAGCCAGTGGGGAACCCTTTCCCCATGACCACTGCCAGCCAGTGTGCTCACGTGGTCTTCCTCTTCTCCCAACTTCTTGATCCTACACTTCTGCCACTCAAGACCCTGCGTGTGTCATTCCATCGCCATCATTCACCTCTCCTTCAGCCTCATGGAGGGGAACATTTTCTAATGTGTGTATATAGTATATATACTACATAAATATATAAATTATATATATACACTAATTTATGTCTTGTTTTTCAAACAAGTATGATTAAATCTATTCATCTTACTATCCCATTAAGTCTTTGCAGTGTCTCTCTGTGAGTGTCCTTGTGTTCTTGAATTGTTGGTTGGTGGCAGGCCTTAAAATGCTCCTCCTGTGCCTCTGCTCCTGGGGACCCATGCTCTGGTACGTGGTGAGAGCTGAGCACCACCCCCCTTCCTTCCGTCTCCCTGCCAACACACTAGGGATCCCCTTTGCTTTTCTTAGGAACATCCTGTTTGTCATGAGTCCTGGCTCCTATCCACCCACTTCTCTTGAATGTGAGACCTCTAGCTCACCTGGCTACCACAGCTGTAACCTTAGAGCTGAAAGGCTGGAAAAACATAATGTGCCCCCTGCCTCGTATACCTGATAGAGATGGAGTTATATGCCAGCCCTTGCTGGGCTTGAGGTGGGGAAAATGAAATGTACCAGTGCCCGGAAGTTTAGGCTTGTAAGTTCCATGCATCAGGCTCTGGCAGTTTTTACAGGACAGTGGGCTAATAATTTAGATAGGGACCTGAAGGGAAACCAACCTCTCTGGCTTTTCAGAGAACTTAATAGTGAGAAGTTTTCTTTCTCCTGTTTTCTTCATTCCTTCCTGCAATCACAGGTCCCCAGCAACCTAGCCTGAGTCACCCTTGTACAAATTAGAGAAAGCTCTTCCAGTGCCCCTCTCATATTGATCAATTAAGGGGGAAATGCCCTCCCTCTCTGCAGTGTAGCCCTGAAGGCAAATGGGTTGAATATCTGCTCTTTCCAGCCCCACTTGCCTCTTTGCCTGAGTACTTGTACTACACAATCATGTACAGTGACTTTGATGAGCTATTTCTTCCCTAAGACTGACTTTTGCTATGTCTGCAAAGGTCCTGGCTATAGAAGTTTGGAAAGTATCAAGAAAAGAGGCAGGAAAAAAAAGAGAGGAGGCAGAGGCAAGAGGGGCAGTCAGGCCTGTTCTGCATGTCTCCCAGTGCCAGACCTGACGGGGTAGCCCAAGACTGAGGGCAGAGTTTTCCAAAGGCTGCCTGCTGGAGCCATTGTACCAACAAAGCTGGGATTCAGTAGAAGCAAGTGCTCATGTAAACTGAAACATGTTGACATTCAGAATGACCCCATGAACAGCCCAGAAACTTGGGCCCTTGTAGCTTTGTTCTAATAGCACCAGCAGCCCCTTGAGATCAGAAAGTGTTAGGGCCAGCCAGATAACTCAGCGGATTAAAGCGCCTGTTTAGGCAGACATAGGGGCCAGGGATTCGATCCCCAGCCTGCCGGCCCTGCCCCTGGAGCATGCTGAGATGGCAAATGAGACTGGGTGTGGTGGTGCGCACCTGTAAACACAGTGCATGGGAGGCTGAAAAGCAGGAAGAATCACTACAAGTCCGATCTGTGCTGTGAGACCCTATAGACCCTGTATTAAATAAATTTTTAAAAAGTTTCTATTTGGTTCTATATCCTGCATGTCCACCCACACAGTATCCGGCACATAGGACTCAGACTTCATGGGCTGGGGAGATACCTCAGCAGCATAAGTGCCTGTCTGGCAAGCTCAAGACCCTGAGTTCGATCACCGGTACCAAAAAACAAAAACAAGGACCCAGACTTCTGTACCATGTGACAAAGACCCTTCACCTCTGAGAATGGCTCCTCCAGGCTAGTGCACATGTACAGGGCGGGGCATCAGGGCATCCTATCAAGGGAGAAGCTGGAGCCATCATCCAGTCCCCACCCCCATCCCCAACTCAGCTGGTTTTCACCAACTACTTCCCAAAGGTTCTAAAACTCCCCTGAGTGGGCTATTGATTTCCCATTCTCAGCCATCCTGGGGACACTGTGGGAGGACACAGTATCTTTCCTGGCAGCATTGGCCTGAGCTAGCGCTTGAAGCTGGTGCTCATCAGCCACCCTCTACAAATCCCCCGGAACCTGACTCCTGCCTTGCTGACTTCAGCCATTTAAAGGAAACCAGTTTCTGACAATTGTGGTTCTGGCACAGTCACAGGTTTTCAAGCTGTTGTCAAAGCACTGTGGATAATAGGCAATTTCATCAGCACTGAATTGAAAAGAACTGCCTCAGCCAGAATTCTTGCTGCAGAGGGAGCTATCACCCAGAAGGGGCATAAATTTACATCTTAGGACCAAATTCCTCTACAAGCCTATAGAATGGAAGTAATAACCATGTCCCATTCCTCATCCTGCAGCCTACAAGCCAGACATGGGTATGCATCTGGAGCAAGCAGGAAGTCCTTCATGAAATGGGAGGAAATGATACTTGAGAGTTCAGTCCTGGGCTTTGACACAAAGTCCTGGATTCCAGGGGCGTCTCAGGTGCTCTAACCTGCTCCAAACCCCTGTTAGGTGGAAATGACAAAGACTTGTGCTCTCACAAGTACTGCTTGTTTCCCATTGGAGACTCCCTCCTCCCTCAAAGGCCTACACACCCATACCCTGAGACCTTGAGTGGCATCCACACCCCAGCATTTCAGGAACATGTTTCAATGCTGTCACTGACATTTTCAGCTGCTAGTGGTGGATCTACCACTCTGGAAGGAGCTCAGTCAAAGCTTCCCTTCTCTCCTGTTGGAGATATTTCGGATATCGCTTCCTCTTTCTTGATTTAGGATTTGGCTGAAAGAAGCATGTATTTGAACTACGCTCAAATCCTTCCACAACACAAAAATCGATCCCTTCCCCTAAGTAGGCAAACCAGTTGTGTGTGAACACTTGCTCTGCTAATTATGTTGTGTGCATGATTTCATTTAAACATCACAACAATCATTTGGGAGGGTACTTTTACGTCCATTTCTCAGAGGAAGAAACTGAAGCCCAGAGAGGTTGTCATTTGCCCAAGGTCACACAACTGGTAAGTGGAAAGTAAGCCAGTCAGTTTTCAAAACCAGCTTGTGCTTTCAATCACAACCCTATATGGTATGCAGCACAGCCCCACCTTTCAAGTCCTTCCCCTGGACACAGAAACATAGATGCAAACACACTCATCAGCAGAAGGCCTGTCATTGCCACTGGGAATCCAGACAGCCTGTGGGTAGCAGTGGAGTATGAATTGCAGGATACCGCAAGCCTACCTGCTCCTTGACCTTTTTTTTGCTAGTCTGCCCTTGTGCCATG